AATCATTGTCAGAGAGGAAATTGATCTTCTATCTGCTTTATGTTCTAAAACCTTCTGGGATTCTACAGATGCCCACTTCATCTCTTTTTAAATAAAGGGCAGACTATTGGTGATGATTTTACAGTGAGAAATGAAAAAAGTCAACTGCTATGAGTGAGAAACCAAGAGTCTAAGTCCTCTCTCTGACATGAGGATCTGTGTCACCCTGGATAAGGCACATAACTTCTGTGGTCTTGTTTCTTCATCTGTTAAAACTATTTGAATTGCTTGATATTTACCATTCTTTTTAGGACTTTCTATGGGATTCAATCAATTATCTGTCTTCTCCAGCTCATGTTTGGTCTTCTTGCTTATCGGATGGAAACATGTTATTCCCACCTTCTCCCATACTCACTACTATTTTCCTTAGGAGAGACCTTGAGTACTTGAACCTTCCTTAGAGAAATGTTAAGCAAGTCACTCAAACTCTCTAGACCTCATCTGTAAAAGAACAGATCACAAGTTCACCAGCCACAGATCTCAGCATCAGATCCCTACAGGGCACCAGTGACCAGGTGAGAAAGAGTCATCCCTCCAGGTAGAAACTGATACCAACCAGCATAGGTCAAGGACCATCATAAGACCAGAGGCTTTTCACCCCTTTTGCCAAAGCTACATTATGACTGGGAAATTTCTGAAAGATTATTTAAATTATTAGAGCGAACTAAACTGTGAATCGGATGTCCGCTCCACCACCTCCACTAATCAGGAGGTAGGTGCCTAGAAAGGGAAGTAGAATAGGCAACATTGCATTAAATTATTACTGTATTTTCTCCAGAGTGGTAACTCTGATTCAAGACATGTAACTTTGTTTATGGATTATCTTTAGCAAGCCAGCCCTCCACTTCATGACTCTTAAACAAGAGGGTTGCTTATTACTGCTTCCTGTTTAAGGGAGTTTGTGGAGGTCCAGACTTTCCAAACATGCCAGCCCTGCTCTCTCCTGTGCCCGAGTGGTGATTTAGATACCAATCTTGCCCTTGTGGACTGTCAATTCTGCCACCTTAGGAAAGGCAAAAACAACTTCTTAGCAACCATATTCCTAGATCTTTACCTAAGTAAACTGAAAGCTTACATGCACACACAAACCTGTATGCAAATGTTTACAGCAATTTTATTCATAATCTCCAATACCTAGAAGCAACCAAAATGTCTTGTACTGGTGAATGGATTAAAAAAAATGTGGTAATTTTTTTTGTTTTGAGACAGGGTCTCATTTTCTTGCCCAGGCTGGAGTGTAATGGCATGATCATAGCTCACTACGGCCTCAAACTTCTGGGTTCAAGTGATCTTTCCATCTCAGCCTTTAGAGTAGCTGGAATTACAGGTGTGCACCCCCATGCCTCGGTAAACTTTTTAAAAAGTTTTTTTCATGCAGATGGGGTCTCCTACATTGCCCAGACTGGTCTTAAGCATTTCTCCCCCCTTGGCCTCCCAAAGAGTTAGAATTACAGGAATGAGCTACAATTCCTGGCCATGGTACATTCATATAATGGAGTACTATTCTGTTTTAAAAAGATAGTAAACTATTGATTCACACAATGATATGGATGAATTTTAAATGAATTTTGCTAATTGAAAAGAGCCAACGGGTGCACACATTGTATAAATTCATTCATCTGAAATTTTAGAAGCAGCTACACTATGGGATGGAAAACAGATGCCAGGGTTGCTGGTGGTAGGGAAGAGGGTAGATTAACTGTACATTAACTGCTGAGATAATTCATGGAAGGAATTTTTGGGATAACAGAATTCTGGGCTGGGTGTGGTGGCTCACACCACCTATCATCCCAGCACCCACCTTTGGGAGGCTGAGGTGGGAGGATCGCTTGGGCCAGGAGTTCAAGACCAGCCTGGGAAACACAGATCCCATGTTTACAAAAAGTAAAAAAAAAAAAAAAAAAGCTGGGAATGTGTGTGCATGCCTGTAGTCCCAGTTACTCAGGAGGTTAAGGTAAAAGGATTGTTTGAGACTGCAGTGAGCTGTGATCGCACCACCACATTCCAACCTGGGTGGCAGAGAAAGACCCTGTCTCCAAACGGCAGGGTTGTGGGTTGGGTAAGGAACAATTCTGTATGATACTGGGTTGTGGATAAATGGCTCTACATTTGTTAAAATCCATAGAACTGTATATCACAAAGTGGGAACTCTAATGTATACAATTTTAAAAAATTAGGGCCAAGATGTAGCAACCCAAGAAAAGAAAGCTTGAGTCGGGGAGCGGGGAGAGGTGAGCGGCGGTGAAGTTGGGGAGGGAACTGAAGAGGAAGATGGCGCGGAGCGGGAGGCGGCCCTGGAGCGACCCCAGAGGACTAAGCGGGAGTGGGACCGGCTGTACTACCAGTGCTACTCAGACGTTTCGGTCCACGAGGAGATGATCGCAGACCCTGTCGGCACTGAGGCCTACCGCCTGGGCATCCTGCAGAACTGGCCAGCACTGCGAGGCAAGACGGTACTGGATGTGAGAGCGGGCATCGGCATTCTGAGTATCTTCTGTGCCCAGGCCGGCGCCCTGCGCGCGTACGCCGTAGAGGCCAGTGCCATCTGGCAACACACTCGGGAGCTGGTGCGGTTCAACGGGCTGGAGGACCAGGTGCACGTCCTGCGGAGACCGGTGGAGACTGTCGAGTTGCTGGAGCAGGTGGATGCCATCGTGAGCGAGTGGATGGGATACGGACTCCTGCACGAGTCCATGCTGAGCTCCGTCCTCCATGTGCCAACCAAGTGGCTGAAGGTAGGCGGTCTTCCCCTGCCGGCCTCTGCCGAGCTCTTCATAGCCCCCAGCAGCGACCAGATGCTGGAATGGCGCCTGGGCTTCTGGAGCCAGGTGAAGCAGCACTATGGTGTGGACATGAGCTGCCTGGAGGGCTTCACCACACGCTTCCTCGTGGGCCACTCGGAGATCGTGGTGTAAGGACTGTCCGGCGAGGATGTGCTGGCCCGGCCGCAGCGCTTTGCTCAGCTAGAGCTCTCCTGCGCTGGCCTGGAGCAGGAGCTGGAGGCCGTAGTGGGCGGGCGCTTCCGCTGCAGCTGCTATGGCTGGGCGCCCATGCACGGCTTTGCCATCTGGTTCCAGGTGACCTTCCCTGGAGGGGAGTTGGAGAAACCCCTGGTGCTGTCCACCTCGCCTTTTCACCGGGCCACGCACTGGAAACAGGCGCTCCTTTACCTGAAGGAGCCGGTGCAAGTGGAGCAAGACAGGGACGTATCAGGAGAGATCACGCTACTGTCCTCCCGGGACAAGCCCCCTCACCTACGGGTGCTGCTGTGCTACAAAGTGGGAGACCAGGAGGAGAAGAACAAAGACTTTGCCATGGAGGACTGAGCATTGCCTTTTCTCTCAGCTACCTCCCAAGGCAGAGAAAGAAAGATCCCATGTGCAAGTAGGCTAAATATCCGTCTCCCTTTTCCCTCATAGCCTCTGGGGAGGGAGAGTGACTTCATTCTCCATTTGAAGAGATTCTTCTGGTGATGTTTATTTAAAAAGTGATCCCCTTCAACAACGGATACAGCGTGCTTATTATTGGGCTTTTAAGCCTCAAAAGCATGTAGTACCAAGCACTTGTATTTCTGTATATTTTGTCTCGCAGGGGAGGGAAGGTGGAAGAACACGGATGAAAATATCATTTTTTGAAGGGTCCTTGCACATCCCTGACGTCTCACTCCTTATCTAAGTCTGAAGCTGGGGAGAAAGGGTTCATTTAGACTTCATAAATTTACAATACAACTTAGTATCTCTCCAGAGCTGAATTTTTTCTCAGTCTGAATTAATTCCCCATTCCTAGGTGCTTGTGGGCTATGGTACGTCTTCCTCATTGTTTTCTAAGTCAATTTTACTACTGGTAATGAAGGGGAAGGCTATGAAGAAGCAGTTTAAATAGCCCCGTTCTCATTACTCTTAACACACACATAGGGTGCTAAAGTTGATGAACACATTAATCCATTAAGTAAAGTAGTCTTTGTAAAGCATACCTAAGAAACTCAGAAGGTGCATTTAGGAGAAAGAGACCGGAAAGAGAAATAGTATGGATTTTTAAAAATTCTTGTCTCTACTATTACAACCAAGTATATATATATTTATATTTCATATATGTTTCATAAATATTTTTTTAAATTCTTATGAAGCAGGCTGGTAGAGGAGGTTTCTGAGCCTAGCCCAAGGGCTTATTCATCACTATGGGTAAATTATTTAAACTCAATTAAGGAAAATATTTTCCTAGCTAGAAAAAATGTACTCATTCTCATTTAAACTCATTTGGAGGGATCATGTGAGTTGGCCTACTTAAAACTAGTGAAAGTTCCCTTTTTTCTCTCTCTCTGTTTCATGCAGCCAAATGTGAAAGTTGTGTTTTAGGAAAATCACTTGTAATAAAGTATAAATCTTATTATCAAATTTATTTTGCTGTTTTCCTCCTTATCCTTGTACCAAATAAAACATTGACATTGTCACATTTCATAGGTGAAAGAAAATATCAACCAGGATGGAGGGGAATGTAGAATTTCAGGAATGAATGTCACTGAACACATAACATCCCTGAGGGGTGGGAAAAGGAGCAAACCAAAGTAAGCTTGCAGGTGCTGCTTTGACTTACAATTGCAAGGCTAAAGGCCAAAGGAACTGGACTGCAGCACCGTGTTGCAACTTGTAACTTTGTTCCTCATCGGGCTAGGGGTGGGGTTGGGGGTGGGGAGGCTGTGACCAATTCTGAAATAGCTTTACATGCACCATGAGTAAGAAGGGGCAAATAAGTAAATGAAGAGTGGATAGTGGGGGTCAGGTTTTTCACTGCTGGAAAGAGAAGTTATAGAGAAGCAAAGGCAGAAGGCTAGAAGGAACCCTGTGATACTGGATTTGAGTTAGAGAAATAAGTATGAACTTATATTTAACCACACATATATAAAAATTTAATAGATATATGTATATACATGGATTAATACACATATCTCCTTCCGTGTGCTCTGAGAGGGCCTATTACAGGGTTACAGATAGTATAGGGTTGCCAGATCAACACAGGATGCATAAATAAATTTGACTTTCAGATAACAATAAACAAATTAGGTCTGCATGGATGAGATTGTTGGGGAGGCCCAGGCCACCTCTTGGTCCTGCTGGTGCACCTTACTGGGGGCTTAAAACTACCCCAAGTGTTTGGGTGTGGAGGCTCACGGCAGGATAACTGAACCCAGGTGTTTGAGACCAGTCTGGACAATGCAGCAAACCCCATCTCTAGAAAAGAGAAAAGGAAAAATTAGTCAGGCATTGTGGCACACACCTCTCATCCTAGCTACTGGGGAGGCTGACAGGGGAGGATGGCTTGAGCCTAGCAGTTAGAGGCTGCAGTGATCCATGATGGAGCCACGCAGGGGAGAAATATGGGGAGGCACACACCCCTCCATCATCTCTACACAGACACAGAACCACGCACAGCTCTAGGGAGAAGGAAGATGAGCTGCTCAAAGCCATGGAGGGACCCGCACAGTGGCCAGCATGGCAGGGACGGTGCTTTAGGCAAGGCAGGGATGGCGGGAGACCTACTTGGGATCTTCAAGGAGGCTGCAGCACTTCCATGTTCTTTCCAGATAACAGGGACGTGTCGATCATGATGAGTGAGATGGGCGTACATGCCATCGCAGACAGGCTGAAGCTCTACTTCCATGAGCTGCCTGAGCCCCTCTTCACTGACAAGTTCTACCCAACTTCGATGAGGGCATCGGTGAGCACTGGAGGCCTTGGCGTCATAGGAGGCATCTCCTCCATGTGCACTGCTGCCATTAGGGGCTGTGGAAAGTGAGGTGTGAGAACCCAAGCTGTGTCCTTTCTGCCATGGTCAGTGTTTTAACTAAGCTCAGAAAGCAGGCACCACAACTGATGTTGTGTAAGTCCTCGTCTGTCCCCAGAGGACTCCTTGTCCTATTCCTCAAGCAGACCAAGAGAGTAAAATGCTCATCACTGCTGTGCTGTGGGGTCCTAAAGTCTGCTGTCCCACTTCCAGCAGACCAGGGCTGAACGAGGGTCCCTAGGTGCTCTAGCCACGGGTCCTGGCCCAGTCAAGCACAGCATCAAACCTGGCCTGACCCCGAGTCAACCTGGAGGCTGATGTCTAAGCAGGGCACTGGCGTGTGTGGCCCCGTATCCTCTGCCTGACCCTTAGGGCAGGCCTGCCTCCCGGGCCCATGCCCAGAGGACTTGGTCTACCAGCCTGAGGTGCCCCTGTGGAGTCAGGGTGAAGAGAGGGTCTCTGCTTAGTTTGTGGGGCTGGGGCCACCCACCTCCCACCTCCTTGTGTCCCTCACTCCCCTGTTTCATTTTATGCTGAGCCTCCACTACTCTGGCCTGCCCTTGGGAAGTGGTGGCAGCCACAGTTTCCCACGGGCAGCTCTGCCCATGAGCCACTGCTCTCACGCCACCTCCTGCACTGTTCTTCAGGTGCTGCTGACCCCTGTGGGGCAGAGAAAAGGGATTCCAGTGGCTCATACCCCACACTGGCGCCCTTCACAGGGTCCTCATTGGGGCCTAGTGCTGTGGGAGTGAGGATGATGATGAGCCTGGGTTGTTCAGGAACACATGTCCCGGGTGCTCTATGTCACCAACTCGGGAGAGGTCTCCAGCTTGTTGCCTTTTGCAGTAATTTCAGACCCTGCTGCAAAGGAGAACTTCATGCTTAACCTGCCCTTGTCCTGACTGGAGGCCAACCTGCTCACCTTCCTTTTCCTTCTGGACCACCTGAAAAGGTAGCCCAGCTCTCTCATGGCTGCCTGGGAGGCTACAAAAACCCAGGCCACAGGGTGCCCCTCTGCTCACATCAGACCCCCAGCACCAAGAACCTTTTCCCCAACCCATCTACAGTCCCTCACTGCCTCTGGGAACCAGCGCCACTGCCACCCCCACCCCAGCCTCTCCTCTTTGCCCTGCTCCCCTCTCTGCACTGTGGCTTCACAAAGAGCTCAGAGCTTTGGTCATGGCCAGCAGTGCACTTGAATACCCCAACTCCCTCACTCCCCTACTGTGGAGGAGACCTCCCCACCAGCCCAGAGCTAACCCCTCTTCCGGGGCCACTGAGACCCACAAGTACCAGGGCTGGAATCAGCTTTCAGCACAGCCAGGGTCGAGGTTGCTCCCTCCCAGAGGACTCCAGCACGGCCCAGCCCCTCTGCCTCTTTCTTGGTGGTGGCATAGAAATAGCACCCTCTGCTTCAGTCCTGCACAGGGTGGTAAGAAAAAGGCAGTCAATAAAAGTCCCTGCACAACCTTGCCATGGTCTTTGGCCCCACGCTGCTCCAGCCTCAGAGAAGGAGAGCAAGCTTTCTGCCAATCCCAGTGGCCCATCACCATGACTGACAGCTGGTCCTTGGAGGTCATGACCCATGTGTGGGAAGACAGGCTCCAGCCAGCCCATGTCACCCCGACCTGACAGAGGTGGCCTCTGCCTGCTACACCCCCAGTCCTGCCCTGCCTAGCTTCTTACTTGCATTGCCTGTGGTGGTGCCTGAAATACAGAGAGAGAAACTTGCCTAGGTCTGCATGGATGAGAGTGTTGGGGAGGCCCAGGCCACCTCTTGGTCCTGCTGGTGCACCTTGCTGGGGGTTAAAACCACTCCAAGTGTTTGGGTGTGGAGGCTCATGCCTATAATCCCAGCACTTTGAGAGACTGCGGCAGGATAACTGAGGCCAGGTGTTTGAGACCAGTCTGGACAATGCAGCAAACCCCATCTCAAGAAAAGAGAAAGGGAAAAATTAGTCAGGCATTGTGGCACACACCTGTCATCCTAGCTACTGGGGAGGCTGACACGGGAGGATGGCTTGAGTCTAGCAGTTAGAGGCTGCAGTGATCCATGATGGAGCCACTGTACTGCCACCTGGGTGGCAGAGCAAGGCCCTGTGCGCCTCTAAAATAACCCCCCCCAAGTCATGCCTTGTCTGCATCCACACCCCCACCTCCCATCTCACTGTAAAGGCTTCATGGCAGCAGCAGAGGACCCAGCACCTGAACTGGACTTGGGGGCTAAAGATCACCAGCTGTGAGCACCCTCTGAGCCTCTCTCCTCTTTCCCACTCTTTCTGGCAGGTCCAGGTGCTGCTGTACTTCCTGCAGCTGGAGGCCATCCCTGCCCCAGACAGTAAGAGACAGAGCATCCTGTTCTCAACCGAAGTCTTAAGGCCCCTGTCCATCTCCAGAAGGCAGATAGACATCCCTAAAACCTCTGGATAATTGGACCATTGTAGAGTGGAAACCAAACCTTTCAGAGGTGTCCTTGGGCCAGCCCCAAGCGTCAGGCCATCTGCCAAGGGACAGTGAGACAAAGCAGAAGGACAGGTGGTCTGGGGACATCCTGGCCAGGTCTGGAAGCCCCAGACTGGCCCTCAGTTGTGGTTTTTCACAGGGCCACCCGAGGGCACCCCAAGCCAGTGTATCTCAGAGTCTGGGCCAGGTCCTGGGAGACAGAGTGAAGGGAGTGGTTTTAGGAACTTACATGTCTCCTGGATCACTTCTTGAGATGTGCCCTCTCCGGGGAGACAGGAATGTGACGGGATCCCCTCACTGTTGTATCTTGAATAAATGCTGCTGCTTCATCCTCTGGGGTCATGGCCCTGTCCCTGTGTGGGAGGGGCCTCTTCCATTCCCTGACTAGGAAACCACACTCCATTTAGAAAAGAATTGAGAGGCTAAGTCAGCACTGGGTAACATTTTGACTCCATTCATGGCTTTCTTTTTTCTTCTTTCCAGAAGGACTTTTGTGCAGAAATGGATTTTTCTTGCTGTGTTTGTCCTTATTGGAAGGCAGCTCCAGGAGGCCTGTGAAATGTTTGGGGACTGGACCCCAGGGGAAGGAGTCCCAGGCTGTGCACTTTAGGATTCCTCCTCCAGGGAGAGCAACCTCATCCCCGATCCTGACTGCCCTCCTGGCTCATGCTCTCCTGTTTGGCTTCCACAGGCCGGGATTTCTCTGGTTTCCCTCTGCCCACACTCTCCCTGCCTCAAGTGTCCCCAGCACAGGTGGCTTCATTCTTCTCTCCACTCAGGGAACTTTCTCAACTTCTGTAAAAGTCCCCACTTAGTGGTAGAAGCTTGCTGATGGCATGTTTTAAAACTTTGATTCAAATAACCTCTTAATACTTGAATATTTTAAGTTTTATACATAGTTTCTAATTCTTTTCCTAACAGATTCAGATACCTAATAAGATCCTAGAATGGTACCATTTTGTCTTTCTCTAAGTGCCTGGCTCTGCTTTCTCAGGAGTGGGTTCTGAGGTCTCTGGACTACAGGATATTTAGAAGGTCAGGAATAAGCCCAGCCTAGGGATGAGGGGCAGGGGGACGGCCTCCTTCCTCAGGCAGGCAGAGGCACAGCACCATCTGCCACCCCCTCTGCCAGCACCTGTGTGGGAGCCAAGGCATTCTTTATAACCCTGCATCACCAGCAGGCTGAAAGAAAACAGAAGCATGGAGGCCACCACTTATTTTCAACAAATTAACATGTAAAGAATTCCCTCACTTTTTCAGAAAAAGGAGGTTGGGGCAAGGAGAGGGGAGAAGGGTGACAAAACCCAGTGCTGAGTTTCCAGAAAATCCTGCAGGAGAAAAGGATGCAGCTGCCCAGAGGAGGGAAGCAGGATCACACTCAGGAAAGTGTGTGGGGTCCTGGATGACACCAACACCCATTGCTGTTCTGTTCGGTGACCTCTTTCAAGGTGGGGAAGGTAAGTGTTCCCTGGATGTCCGTGGGCAGATCCTGCTGAGCACGCAGCATGTTAGGGAGTCTGACACTGGAGCCATTCTCCTCCACTCCAGGCAATTCCAGGCAAGGCAAGGCCAAGCAAGGCAAGGCAAGGCAAGACAAAACAATTCCAGGCAAGGCAATCCCAGACAAGGCAAGGCAAGGCAAGAGAAGGCAATGCTAGGAAAGGCAAGCAAGGCAAGGCAAGGCAAGGCAATGCAATTCCAGGCAAGGCAATGGCAGGAAAGGCAATTTCAGGTATGACAAGGCAACACAAGGCAAAGAAAAGAAATTTGAGGCAAGGCAATTCTAGGTAAGGCAAGGCAAGGTAAGGTAATTCCAGGGAAGGTAACTCCTGGCAAGGCAAGGCAAGGCAATTCCAGGCAAGGAAATTGCAGGCAAGGCAAGGCAATGGAGGGCAAGGCAATTCCAGGCAAGGCAAGGCAAGGCTATTCCAGGCAAGGCAATTCCAGGCAATGCAAGGCAAGAAAAGGCAAAAAATTGCAGGAAGGAAATTAAAGGCAAGGCAAGGCAAGTCCAATCCAGGCAAGTCCATTTCAGGCAAGGCAAGGCAATTCCAGGAAGGAAATTCAAGGCAAGGCAAGGGAACACAATCCCAGGCAAGGCAACTCCAGGCAAGGCAATTTCAGGCAAGGGAAGGCAAAGCAAGGCAATTCAAGGCAAGGCAAGGAAAGGCAACTCAAGGCAATTCCATGCAAGGCAAGGCAAGGCAAGGCAATTCCTGGCAAGGCAAGGCAAGGCAAGTTCAGGCTAGGAAATCCCAGGCAATGCAACTTCAGGCAATGCAAGATAAGGCAAGGCAATGCAAGGCAATTCCAGGCAAGGCAAGGCAAGACAAAGCAGGGAAAGGGAATTCCAGGCAAGGCAATTCCAGGTAAGGTGAGGCAAGGCAATTCTAGGGAAGGCAAATCCAGGCAAGGCAAGGCAAGGGAATATCAGGCAAGGTAATTCCAGGCAAGGGAAGGCAAGGCTATTACAGGCAAGGCAATTCCAGGCAAATCAAGGCAAGGCAAGGCAAACAAATTCCAGCAAGGAAATTCCAGACAAGGCAAGGAAAGGCAAGGAGAGGCAAGGTCATTCCAGGCAAGGCAATTTCAGGCAAGGCAAGGCAATGCAATGCAATGCAAGGCAATGCAATGCAATGCAATTCCAAACAAGAAAATTCCAGGCAAGGCAAGGCAAGGCAATTCCAGACAAGGTAATTTCAGACAAGGAAAGGAAAGGCAATTCCAGGCAAGACAAAACAAGGCAAAAAAGGGCCATTCCAGGCAAGGCGAATTCAGGCAAGGCAAGGTGATTTCAGGCAAGGCAAGGCAGGGCAGGGAAGGACAGGGCAGGGCAAGGCAGGACAGGGCATGGAAAGGCAAGGCAACGCAAGGCAAGGCAAGGCAAGGCAAGACAATTCGCCTGGAATTGCCTTGCCTAGAATTGCCTTGCCTTGCGTTGCCTTGCCTTGCCTTGACTGAAATTGGGTTGCCTGGAATTGCCTTGACGTGCCTTAGTGGGAATTGCCTTGCCTTGCTTTACCTTGCCTTGTTTTTGCCTGGAATTGCCTGGCCTAGAATTGCATTGTCTTGCCTTATTTTGCCTTGTCTGGAATTGCCTTTCCTTGCCTGGAATTACCTTGTCTAAAATTACCTTGTCTGGAATTGCCTTGCCTTGTCTTGCCTGCTATTTTCTTGCTTGGAATTGTGTTGCATTGCATTGCCTTGCCTTGCCTCAAATTGCCTTGCCTGAAATGACCTTGCCTCTCCTTGCCTTTCCTTTCCTTGTCTGAAATTACCTTGTCTGGAATTGCCTTGTCTTGCCCGGAATTTCCTTGCTTGGAATTGCATTGCATTGCATTTCATTGCCTGGCCTGAAATTGCCTTGCCTGGAATGACCTTGCCTCTCCCTGCCTTTCCTTGTCTTGCTTGGAATTTCCTTGTGGGAATATTTTTGCCTTGCCTTGCCTTGCATTGCCTAGAATTGCCTTGCCTGGAATAGATTTGCCTTCCCTTGCCTGAATTGCCTTACCCTGCATTGCCTTGCCTTTCTTGGAATTGCCTTGCCTGATATTGCCTTTCCCTGCCTTGTCTTGCCTTGCCTAGCCTGAAATTGCCTTTCCTGCAATTGCCTAGCCTGGAATTGCATTGTCTTGCCTTGCCTAGACTGGCTTTGACTTGCATTGCTGTGCCTGGAATTGAAATGCCTGGAATTGCCTTGCCTTGCCTTGCCTTACCTGGAATTGCCTTGCCTGGATTTGCATTGCATTATCTTGCTTCTTTTTGCCTGGAATTGCCCTGCCTTGCCTTCCCTGGAATCACTTTCCCTGGAATTGCCTTCTCTTGCCCTGCCTTGACTGGAATTGCCTTGTTTCAAGTTGCCTTGGCTTGCCTTTCCTCGTCTGGAATTGCCTTGCCTAGAATTTCCTTGCCTTACCTTA